GGACCCAACTGTCCTGCTCCCGGTCCTGGAGGAAGCGGAGGGGGCACATCCCGCCCTCATCAGAGCTGTGCTGCATCGCGTGGTAAACAACAAAGGAAGGGGGCCTCAGCAGTTGGGGGGGTTGCCCCTGCATCCCAATCCCCAGGCCCCGGCTGCCCCTGGAGCCCCTCAGCTCCTGGCCAGGAAGCTGGGCTGGTGTGACTGCGTCCCGAGGCCATGACCTTACCCTCTATGGCTGCGTAGGCCATCAGGATGTCTGCTCGGTCCCAGCTCCGGGGAGTGAAGCCTCCAGGGGAGCCACCTGCAAGAGGGGCCAGTCCCACTGACAGCATCCTGGACCCCACCAGCCCAGGGTCCCCCACTGGCTCCTTTTTGCAGAAAGAGTATCAGGCAAGAAGGACAGGTCAGAAGTCCATCTCAGCCCTGCCCCTTACCAGTCCCGAGACCTCAAAAAAGCTATTTCACCTCCTGACTGCAGGGCGATCTGAGGCTCAGCGGGCCAGAGGCCCCCGTTTTCAAGGGCTGCTGCACTAGCAAGTCTTTTGCTCCCTTAAGCCCGGCGGACACACCCCATGGCCCCTGCCCGAGCCCAGGGCACCGCGGGCACACAGACCCACCTGGGGCATCAACATAGACCTGGAGGACGTCGGCATGCGAGGGGGTGGCAGGCAGTGACCGCAGCCAGGGCCAGGACCAGGGGAGCACCGAGGGGGCCATGCCGGCATCCCTGTGTCCTGAGGATGGAGGGTCAGGCAGGTGCTGTCACTCAGCGGACACCTGGGGCGCCTCTACGGTCCAGACCCAACCCTCAGAGCTCCAGAGCAGAACCTTTCAGGGTGCTCAAGTTCATGGACTTGACCTCTGGGAGAGGGAGGGGGAGGGGCGGGCAAGGCCTGGTCTGGGGCTTCTGGAGGAAGTGGAGAGGGGGTTGGGGAGGCTGGTTGAGGAAAGCGACACAGCTGGGTCTCCGGAGAGGGCCCCAAGTCCGGCTCACCCCCGCGACAAGCCTGAAGCAAGAAGATCTTGGGGCAGCCCCGCAGGGCCCTGCACTGGCTCAGCTCCTGCACCAGCACCTCTGACTGCACCTCCTGCCCATCAGCCCCCAGCAGCTGCCCCTGAGGCCCCCCGTGGGCCATCAGTGCCACAAGAGCACAGTTCACGGGGCCCCGATGGGTGTCCAGCCGCTCCCGGAACTGGGCCAACTCCTCCTGGAAAGCCTGAAGTGGGAAAGACATTGAGGCCTGGCCCAGGGCCACTGTCTCCCCGGGGCCTTCTCCAGCCCCCCCCCCCCCCCCGGCCTCCCACCTCCCGCCAGTCGATCCCAGGAAGGAAGTCTTTCGCTGCGCCCCTGCTTGCAGGCCTGGCGTGGCCTCCCTGGAGGGGACAGGCGGGTGCAGCCTCTGCAACTGGTCCCCAGCGCTGGAGGGCAAGCTATGCCACAGAGCAGGACACAGGGAGGGAGGCAGTGCAGCGACATTTGTCCGGGCAGGAAACACACCCTCTGGGGAAAGCCCAAGGGCCTGGCTGGGGCCTGAGTCGGGGTGCAGAGGGACAAGCTGCGCAGAGGCCGCAGGAGCCGGGGGCCTCGCTTCCAGAGGCAGGGTCGCGGGTTCCCAGTGCGTGCAGTGGCGGTGGACTGGACTGGACTTGAGGATGCACGTCCTGCCGGTGAGGTACACCCAGGGCCCTCGGGGCAGGGATCCCCCCCTACTGAGCAGCACCAGGAGTCCTGAGCTGCCCCTTACCTGGGCCGGAGGATCTGTCCTCAGGGTGGTCTTGAAGCCCAGGGCCCGGCACAGGCCTCCCAGGGCCACCACGTCACGCTCCGCCCCGGGCCGGCCTCTGATCACGGCCAGGAGGAGGGCAGCCTTGGCCCCCGACAGGTCGTACTGCGGGCCAGGGCTGGGTGCTGGCTGCAGAGAGCGGTCAGGGGTTTGGGGCCCTCCCAGCTTCTCGCCTCCCCCACCTTGGGTCTCCGTGAGCCTCTGTCCCACTCAGCCTTGCTGCCACAGGGACCCCCGCCCTGTCCCCTCACCTCTGGTCCCCAAGGTTCCTCATCCTGCAGGCACAGCCTACCCCGCAAGGAGCTCCGAAAAAATGGGCAGGGTGTGGCCCCTGAAGACTCCTCAGCCGCCCTGCAGAAGACCTGGGGAGGGGGAGCCGGAGGACCCTTCAAGGGACTGCTCCAGGGGTGCAAGGGGGCGCGGGGGGGAGGCGTCAGGACCCTGGCTCCAGGGAACAGCGTGGCCAGGCTCATGGCTGCTCCCAACTCCTTGGGAGAATGGAGGGAGGAAGAGACAGAGAAAGGGGGACTCCCTGGTGGCGCAGGCGGTTGAGCGCTGCGCTGTGAAGCTGTCCGCAGCCTCTGCAGCGCCCGTTCAATCCCGGCCGGCCGGCGAGAATCCCACATGGCAGCAGACCTCTCCTGCCGCCCCCTGCTCCCCTCAGCAGTGTATTTCGTCAGTCTGCCTGTTCTGCTCCCCGCTCTGGCTCTGGTGAATCCTCTCACCCTCCCGCGCTTCTGGCCTGTACCCCGGTTCTTGTCTAAATAAATAAATCTTAAAAAAAAAAAAAAAGAGACAGAGAAAGAGATAAGGCACTTGGGGGTGGGGGGAGTGGTCCTGAGTTCAGGGGGCGGGTGTGCTGGGCCCAGGCAGGCCCCAGAGCGGACCCAACTGTCCTGCTCCCGGTCCTGGAGGAAGTGGAGGGGGCACATCCCGCCCTCATCAGAGCTGTGCTGCATCGCGTGGTAAACAACAAAGGAAGGGGGCCTCAGCAGTTGGGGGGGTTGCCCCTGCATCCCAATCCCCAGGCCCCGGCTGCCCCTGGAGCCCCTCAGCTCCTGGCCAGGAAGCTGGGCTGGTGTGACTGCGTCCCGAGGCCATGACCTTACCCTCTATGGCTGCGTAGACCATCAGGATGTCTGCTCGGTCCCAGCTCCGGGGAGTGAAGCCCCCATGAGGCCTCTGAGCCAGACCAGACCCGAATCATCCCTAGCCCCGACCCCAGGACTAGCCATCTGACAGGCGGTCACCGCCCGGGCGAGTGTGAGCGGGGCTGGTAGAGCACACGGCTGGACTCAGAGCTCGTGGAAGAGCCTGCCTGAGGCTGGCCAGGACACCAGGGAGGGCCTGCCAAGCAGAGGGGCAAATGGGGCACAGCTCTGGAGCGATGTGGCAGTGGGAGTGCCTGGGGACCCCGAGTGGGCTAGAGGAGGTGTGGGGGCATGGGAAGTGACGCCACACATGCAGACATGTCTGTGGGGTGGGTGTGCAGGCACCCGACTGGCACAGCGTCTGGTGAGCACAGAGGCAGGGGAGGGGTACCTCGGTGAGCAGCTGCTGCAGGCACCCCCGAGGAGCACGGCCGCACAGCTGGCCCAGGTGGGTGAGGAAGGCTCCGGACTCTGGGGCAGCTGGGTGGGGAAGCAACGCGCTGGCCTGCGGGAGGGTCTCAACCTCCCACCCACCCCGCCCGCCGTGGCCTTGTCCCACCAGCAGGGGCCCCTGGGGGCCCACTCACCCCCGGGAGCACTGGAGAGCAGCAGGAAGACCTTGGGGCGACCCCACAAGATCCTGCAACGACTCAACTCCTGGACCAGCGGCCTAGGCTGCTTCAGCTGCCCACTGGGGGCCACCAAAGCCACTAGGGCACAGCCCACAGGGTCCCCGCGAGCATCCAGCTGCTCCCGGAACGTGGCCAGCTCCCCCAGGAAGCCCTGGTGCAAGAGAGGCACTGAGGGCGGGGGGGGGGGGGGTGGGGGGCAGAGGGCAGAAGGCAGGGCCGGCACTCACCTGCGCGGAAGCCTCCCTCCTCCGGCAGCGCTCACAGCCCAGGGCCCGGAATGTGGCGTCCAGGGTGGCCACTGTGGAGGCTGACGCCCCTGGGGTGCTGAGTATCAGGGCCACGCGGGGCCCCTGCAGGTTGTACACGCCCTGAGGAGGCAAGGCCAGAGCTGGGGGTGGGCTCAGCCGGGAGCCAGGAGCGGGTGGGTCCGGCCTCGCCTCCCCCCACCTTTCTCCGCAGGCTCTCTCTCGTGTCGGCCGCCTGCGCGGCCATCTGCAGGGTCCCGGCCACCAGGAAGGCCATGGGAGCTCCCCTCCCGGCCCGGGTGCCGTCGCCCTGGGTCCTCACCCTTGCCCTGTCCCTGAGCTGCTCCTATCAGCTCGGTTTATCAGCTGAGCCGAACTCTGCCCCCTCCCCTGAGCCCTGGGTCCCGGCTCCAATGGCCTGGACCCTGCTCTGCTCCCTGACCCACGGGCTGCTTCCTGGAGGGTGTCACCCCCACCTGAGCCAGGGGCTTGCGCCCAGCGCTATTCTTAGCCCCTGGCCCACCTCCCATCCGATCTTGTTACGCCCCGGTGGCTTCCTTCTGGGCAAGCCACCGCCAGGAAATGTCCCTGCCTCCCGCCCTGCTCGCTCACGCGCAGCACGCACACGGCAGCCCCGCACACGCGCCCGGGGGGGTGAGGGGCACCCCCAGGCGGAGAGCCCCTGGGGCAACCGTCCACAGCGAGACCTCAGGATGAAATGCTAAATGGGGAGCTGGTTGATGAAGGGCCGGGGGCAGAGACTGGCACGGAGGGACAGAACATCGTATCCCGGCCACACTGCTCCTCAGGCAGGCCATGGCCCCCCCAGGCGAGCTGGGCAGGACGCAGCGGGTGGCAGGTGCTCTGACCCAACTCTGAGCTCCGCAGGCCCCGGCCTGGAGCCACAGGGCACGGGTGCCGCGGGCTGAGAGGGGACCGAGAGGGCCCTTTGTGACTTAGCAGTCCCTGGGGATTTCAGCACAGGAGCCGCTTGGTGTTCCGTGTCCCCAGGAAGCAGTTTACTACCACCCGGACCAGTCACCCAGCCCCAAGCCACGGCCTCCCTTCACCCCGGGGCGGCCAGCGCCCCGTCTTCCCACCCGCTGTCACAAAGCAAGCGGCCAGCAGACCAGGGCAGACCCGGTGGGCCAGGACCAGAGTCCCAAGGCTCCCGGCTGCCCTTCCAGTTGCCCTGGAAGCCAACGATGGCCACCCGGTGGCGCCCAGCATCACCCGCCCTCAGGACACCAGCCCGGAGGCCGAGGGGCAGGAATCCCAGGTCTCTCCCCCGCCAGCAGCCACCCGAAGAACAGAACAGCCTGGAGGAAGTTTGCACTTTTATTTGAACCCTTATTCTGTTTCTTTCAAACTTGGGGAGTCGGCTGGGCGAGCTCCTTTGGGGGCCGTGGCCTGTCCCTGTCGGTGCTGCTCCGCGGCCGACACGGCCCCCACGAGGCAGCGCGGGCGAGCGGCGGAGGGCTGTGCTGGGACAGGCCGCGGCCGAGCGCTAGTGTTAAGTGCCGTGAGCCCAGGCCGCCAGGGCAGGAGCAGCCGGCCTCTCCCGCCCAGCTCTTGGTCTGTCGTCGGCCTCCCGCCCCCGGAGCCGCACCCCCCTCGCCAGGCTGGCACAGGGTATGCTCAGGGACTCCGTGGGCACGGGCAGCTGCCCCGTCGCCAGGACAGGGCAGAGGGGTGATGGCCTGGAAAGGGGGGCCCGAACGCCACGGGCCATGCCAGGACCTCCTAGGGCGGCTGCCGTCCCCGCGGTGCCCAGCGTTCAGGCTTGTCTCCCGCCCCGCCACCAGGCACAGGGTGGCAGGACAAAGGACCTGCCCGTGGGCTGCTGGAGGAGGCTGGAAACAGCCGGGGCTCAGGGCAGGGACCCCTCCCAGAGCCCCCACTCCTAACAGCCGCGCTCCAGGGGGTCAGAGGCCAGAGACCCCGCAGCGGAGGAGTGGCCAGGAGGTCAGAGGGATGCCCGTCCGGGTCCTGGGGCTGACGGGTGGGTCTGCGGGTGCGGGGCCTCAGCCCACGGGCTGCGCCATCTTGGCGTGCAGGCTCTGGTGCGCGATGAGGTGGGCGCGCTGCTTGAAGCTCTTGTCGCACTCGCCGCAGCCGAAGGGCCGCTCGCCGGTGTGCACGCGCCGGTGGTCCAGCAGGTAGGAGCGCAGCGAGAAGCTCTTGCCGCAGTCGCCGCAGGCGAAGGGCTTCTCGCCGGTGTGGATGCGCTGGTGGTCGGCCAGGTAGGCGCCGCGGCTGAAGCTCTTGCCGCACTCGGAGCAGGAGAAGGGCTTCTGGCCCGTGTGCACGCCCTGGTGGCGCGCCAGGTCCGAGGAGCTGCGGAAGCTCTTGTCGCACTCGGGGCACTTGTGCGGCTTCTCGCCCGTGTGCGTGCGCTGGTGGCGCGCCAGGTCCGAGCCCCAGCGGAAGCGCTTCCCGCACTGGCCGCAGCCGTGCGGCTTCTCCGACGCCAGGTCCCGGAACTGCCGGCGGCGCGTGGGCGGCCGCCCCCGCCGCACCCCCACGCGCCCCACGGGCGCCCCTGGCCGCACCGCCCCGGCCCAGGCGCCGGCCCCCTCCAGGCTCCAGGGCCCCAGCCGGCCGGCGCCGGCCTGGCCCGGGAGCACCGTCCCAGCCTCCTCCAGCGGCCTCCTGGGGCTTTGGCTCCCGAGCCCGGAACCTGCAAGCAAAGAGGAGCCTCAGAAGGGGCCGGGGAACGCCGGGGCTTTCGGACCCTGCAGACCCAAGCCGCGGAGACTTCCAGCAAATGGGGACAAGAAGAAAAGCCGGAGGAGCCAGGTGGTCATGCCCCGCGGCCCAGGCGGGCTCCTCCCTGGGGGGCAAAGGGCAGCGCCAGGCCTGGCTGCTCAGCCACCAGGACGGACCGGATTCGCCCTCTGTAAACTGGCCAAACGCCCACTCTGCTCTCAGAAGCCCGGAGCCACAACGTGCCCCCAGCTCGTGTCCTCCAGACTCATGGCCAGGCTGGGCCGGCAGATCCTAACCCAGCCCCTCGGGTCAAGCAGCTTGAATGAGCGGATCCCCAAATCCTGGGGGGACCTGTCCCCTGCGCGTGGCCGCCTCCCGGCAGGACCCAGGTGTGTTCACCGGCAGCCGAGGGGCCTCGCAAGCCCCATCTGGACCCAGTCCCAGCCCCGCCTCCAGCGTCTCCCGACCTGGCCCCAGGCCCCCGGGATCCCAGGAGAGCCCGTCCGCGCGCACGAGTGCTGGCGCGTGGCCCCCTCGCGTGAAACAGGCGGACCCGCGGCACAGGCAGGACCCGGGGCAGCAGAGGGTGGGGTGGGAAGGGGGACCGAGGAGCCCCCCGGGACGGGGGAGGGCGTGCAGCCTGCCTGGGCCCGCTGTCCGCTGCTGGGCCCCCCAGGAGGCTCCGCCCACAGCTCAAGGAGCCGCCCGCGCCGCCGCTTACCCTGGGCCACGTGCCGGGAGTTCTCCCGCTTTATGTCCCAGAAGAGGTCCCTCTGCGCCGGGTCCAGGGAAGCCCATTCTTCCCGAGAGAAATAGAAGGGGATGTCGCCAGAGGTCAGGGGTCCCTGGGATGAGGGGAGAGAGTCAGCCCTGGGTTGCCCTCCCCAGGCGGCCACACAGGGACCGCAGGGTACAGGGAAGGGGACCAGATGGGTCCAGCAGGGCCCCCAGGGAAGAAGAGGCTTGATGAGCAGGCAAGACCGCTTGCGGGCTCAGCGCACGTAGGGCCTCCGAGGGAACGAAGGGACGCGTAACTCACATGGACCCCGGAGGCAAAGCAGACGTCCGCAGTCTCTCTGGTGCTCCCCTCTTTAAGAAGAGCAGGGAGCTGGGCTGCAGGATAAGAATGAAGCCTCAGAGGCCAGCCCGGGCTGGGGGCAAGATGGCATGCACCCCCGTGTGCACACTCAGCCACAGGCACACGCTCCCCGCGCCTCTCAGAGGCACCTTCCTGCGGGCCTGCGCGAGGCCTGGGAGCAGCCAGCCCAGCCCCACTGCACGGCGGCCTCCAGGCTTACTCACCGCCACAGCCTTGCTGTTCCCAGGGGATGGGCAGCCAGCTTCGTGCCCCCACCTTTGGGGGAAGCCCCCTGGCCTGGGATCCCTGGACTGTAGCCTCGGGTTCCACATCCTCTGAGGGCACGTCCTGCGCAGGAACCACAACATGCTCGTCAGCACCGAGACCAGACGGAGCAGACAGAGTTTAATCCCTAGGGAGGAGACACAGGACACATTCCTCAGGATGCTGGGGTATGGGGCATGAGCGCTGCAGGGGACCCAAGAAAGTCCCGGTGAGCATGAGACACTAGCAGTGCTGTGAGCCCAAGGACACGCCCCCATCAAGCAGGAGGCAGAAGCAGCCCCCAAAGGCCAGAACCATGGAGGTAGCCAGCAAGGAGGGTCCGGGGAGACCTTCCTGTCAAGGGCAGAACCTCACCCCAGCCACTCCTTAGCACCTCCCCAGATGCTTCCAGTGTCAAGGATTCAAGGCCCACCCCCACCCCAAGACAACAGGGTTCACTGGCCAGCTCTACCTTCTCATACCCCCTGTGGCGCTCTCATTATGCGTGTCACTGTATCACCAGGGCCTGGCCAAGAGCAGAACACGAGTGAACGTTGGCAGCTGTGCACGGAGCTACAAGCTGCCTGCCGGGAATGTGCCCGCTCAGCCCCTGCCGCCCTCCAAGCCACCTCAGGGCCAGAGTCGTCTGGACCTAGTGATCTTTCAGAAGGGCCACCAGGGCTGGGACCTGCTCCCACTGACTGTCCTCCAAACCCCCAGGACTTGTCCCCACGGGGACAGCCAAGCTCTTCTCAGCCCAGTGCCATCGAGGTGCCCCTGGAAGCGGAAGGCGCCCCTCACCTGCGGCCAGGCTTTCCCAGGCTGTATCTGCAGATCCTCTACCAAGGCGACAGCCTCCTCACCACTCCCTGGACACCGGTCCCGCACCCAGTCTTGGATGCCCTCCGGAAGCACGCTCAGGAACTGCTCCAGCACCAGCAGCTCCAGGATCTGCTCCGTGGAGCGTGCCTCGGGCCTCAGCCAGCGGCAGCAGAGCTCCCAGAGCTGGCTGAAGGCCTCATGGGGCCCGCCTGCATCCCCATAGCAGAACTGCCGGAAGCGCTGGCGGCAGGCCTCAGCATCCTTGCTGTCCTCTTGCTGGGCCGAGTCCTGCTCCCAGGAGGAATCTTCCACCTTGACGATCAGAAGCCCTTCTCCCTCCCCAGAGGCCTGGTCCTGAGGGTCCAGGGGGGCTGCCATTCCCCAGGCTCAGGCTAGTTGGCCTCAACCTGGGCCAGGGCACCAGCCTTTCAGTCTCCCTGAGGAATCCCTGGTGGCAGCTGGACCTGCATCTGGACACACACTCCTGGGAAAAGAGAAAACAGAAGGGAGGGGGTTGGTACATGAGCAAACATCAGCCCAGAGAGACAGCCACAGGTTCTAGCTCTTGTCCTTTCTTGGGCCTGGAGCCTTTTGCAGGCTCTCGCAAAAAACTCTGCTCACACAGCCCCGGACCCTCAGCTCTGAAACCCCAATCTCCCAGGTGCCACTACCTGGCCTAAAGATAGGACCGTATTTATAATCTCCGTTTATCCCATTTAATGTAAATGTTCATGTTTTACAGCAGAAATAGTAGAAACACATTTGTTCAGTTCGCAAAAGTTCAGCCAGCTGCATTTACAACGTGCGTGTCCGTGTGTGTCTTACACGCCAATACAAAGTTTAATTAATGCTCTTGATTACTGAGTTGCCCAGACCCTGCTGGTGGGCACTTGATGGAGCCTATGAAAACCTCTTAGCTGCAGGCCACGGGACCACCGCAGCCCTGCAGACACGGCAGGAGCGGGCCCTGAAGACACACGGGCCGGAGCGGGCCCTGCAGACACCGGCCGGAGCGGCTGCGCACCTGGCCCTCCCACCGCCACTCGTCACAACAGCGGAGAAGCGTGTCTTGGGAATGCCTTTGTTTCAGCCAAAAAGTGACACAACCATCGTAGTGGAAGGGGGAGTTCACTATGGACACACACACAGGCGCCCCACCACCGGGCCTCCCCGACTCGGCCCGCGCATCTGCTGACCACGTCTGTACAGCACGAGCGGCCACACACGCGAGGCCTCACCGCGCGACCGGCTGTGATTCGCGTTCCCACCCAACGGAGCTTGTCTTCACGGGCGCCCCGGGAACCCCGCCGTACGGGTGGGCCCCAGTTCCTCGGCCAAACCCCGGGCGAGACACGCGGCTCCCCGCGCCTCCCGACTACACCCTAAGCGCTGAAGTGCTCCATTCTCCCCTCCGGGGCCCGCGGAGCGGGCCCGGCCGGAGAGGCCAGGACTCACCGGGGTCGCTCGGCGGGCGGCGGCCGGCGGGAAGGTGGCCCCGACCTGGACCCGCGCTCCGTCCCCGGCAGCCTCGGGCGCGGAGCCAGCGGTGTCTCTCCGGGACCCAAGGGCCCCCCCCGGCACTCCCCAGCGGTGTGCGCGCCGTTCGGCCTCCGCCTCCGGGGGCCGGGCCCGGAGCCCCGCGCACGACCTCGGAGCCCCGCGGCCCGCGTCGCCGGTCCCCGCCCCGGGACACACACCGCCCACGGCCGCCCCGCCGGCCCAGCTGCGCCGTCAGTCCCGGCGCCGGAAGCCTGCGCGGGGCTCCTCGGGAAACAGGGCGGTGCATGCGCCTCGGAACTACAGCCCCCAGAAGGCCGTTCGCCGCTGAACCCGCCTTCCTCCAGAAGGATGGCCAATGAGTGGAGGGCATTCTCACGGACTCCCAATCAGAAGGCAGCGACGTCACGCGCGCCGACACCCACGGCCCGGGCGGGGTCAACTAGTAGCATGGCGCCGTCCTCCGCGAGGCCCGCTTAGCTCTCTAGTTTCCGCCCTTGTTGGGAACGCGAGGGCTGGGAGCGGAGTCCAAAGCCGGCCCGGCGCGCAGAGACGGCGCCTGACCCGGCCGCGAGAGGGGCGGACCCTCCCCTCCGCCCGGGCTCTGTCCGCTCCGGGGCGAGGGCGCAGGGGGCGGCGGCCCCGGGAGCTCGTTTCCAGCCTCTCGGGCCGCGCCTGCGGGGCTCCCCGGGAAATGCAGTCAGTGAGGGGCGCGCGGGGCAGCTTAGCGGGGCCCCGACCCGGCGCTCCCCGCCCCCTCGGAAGTATATTGTAGAGGAATTGAGTTACAGCTGTATTAGAATCTTCTCGTGTGAGCGTATTTATGCCATGTGTATGTTTCACGTATATTTCTTTCCTGTATATAGAATTGTAGAAATTGAAAGAATCCTGGTTTTTTTTTTTAATCGGAGTGTTCTTAATGTATTTGCTTTCATATATTAAGGATATATTAGCACTGACACATAGTGAGCTCTCAAGTATTTGCTGAATAAATTGAGCTACCATTTGAACTGTTACAAAGTTTTTTCCTATTGTGGCTTATTTATTTGGATGATGCTTTTTAATTCCATATAGAAATATAACATTAGGGCCTCCCGGGTGACACAAGGGGTTAGGACGCAACCTATGAAACTGCCCGCAATCACTGCAGCACGAGTATGATCCCCGGCCAGGGAGCAGACCCACATGGTGCGGCAGACCTCTCCTGTCTCCCCGCTGCTCCCCTCAGCAGTGTATTTCAGTAGATCCGCCTGTTTTCTGCTCCCCACCCCATCTCTGGTGAATCCTCACACACACACACCTCTGGCTTATAACCCTGTTCTTAGTATAAATAAATCTTTTTAAAAAATTAAAGCTTTGGGCCTCCCCCCGTGGCGCAGGTGGTTGAGCACAGCGCTGTGAGGCTGTCCGCAGCCTCTGCAATGCTGGTTTGATCCCGGCTGGCCGGCAAGGGTCCCACATGGCGCGGAATACCTCTCCTATCTCGCCCCCTGCTCCCCTCAGCAGTGTATTTCTTCAACCTGCCTGTTCTGCTCCCCGCTCTGTCTCTGGTGAATCCTCTCCCCCTCCAGCGCATCTGGCCTGTATCCCGGTTCTTGTATAAATAAAAATAAATCTTAAAAAAAAATTAAAGCTTGAAAAAAATAATGAAGAGTAAACATTTTCTTCCCCCAAAATTTTTATTTTCAGAATTTATACTTGTTATTCTTAGTTTATAGCATTGCCCAGAACTCCCTCAACAAGAAGTTGAAGACAGCAGGCACGATTGTCTTGGTTAATGATTTAGATTAAGTAGCTACTGTCTGTCTCTGACATATATCCATGTTCACTTTACAGAGCACCTATTTTCATTTACAGTAGAAAGGCTACTAGCTATTATCCAATATTTGTTTTCCCTTCCTATAGCAAGAATTTTTCAATGGACACATGGGCATTTAGAATAAAGAATGTATTTCTCAAGCCTCTCCTGAAACTAAGTATAGCTACGTGATTAAATTGAAGTCAAAGTAATGTGAGCTGAAGCCATGCATGCAACTTATTAGAAAGTGATGGATCGTGGCTTCCTGTTATTTCCCCAATTGCAAGTGGGAGTTAGGACACAGATAGAGGAACTGACCAGGCAGATGAGCATAATGCCCACGGATGTAAAAGAAGATGGAAAGTGTCTGGATTCCAGTGGACTGTGGAGCCATGAAAGTGACCCTGGATTTATACACAAGCAGTGACATGAGAAATAGGTGTCACACTTAAGCAGCTGTTTTTTGGATGTCTAGGACAATCAAAATATTTACCCAACTGGCACTACTCCTCACTAAGAGCTTTTTCATTAAAAACAGAAAAATATTTTTATTTATAATTTCTTCTTTGGAATACGGAGTATTCAGAATTTCTGTCTTCTTGACTAAATTTTGGAACTTTTTCTTTTTTCTAGGAAATGGTCCCGTTGATCTACAATTTCAAATTATCAACATGAAATTGTACATGGAATTTCCACTTGATTTAAAAATTTAAAATCAGCATACGTTTAAATCCTACTTGTTTGGGGATTGCGATGGCCCTTGGTTGGCGTGCAGCGCAGGCTCTGGGCACTTGGGTGCCTGATGACTGTGGGTCAGGCTGGCCTCCCCGACCTCCAGCCCCACTGCAGACCTCACGGGGAGAAATACACTTCTTCCTTGTTTAACACCTTGTCCTTTTGGGTCGCTGTTATTTGTAATTTAGCTGAGTTTTACCTGATTCGCTACCTACACCTGGTTGTTCCAAAGATTAAATGAGAGAACACAATCGCCACTTAGCCCGCAGTGAGCTCTTCACCCTCACAAGGACAGACCGGCCAGTGGCTAGTCCTGGGGAGGTGGACTTCATCAGGAACCCTGACCTGAGTCGCTCACAGGAGCCCGGGGTACCTGAGCCACTCCAAAAGTCAGGCCCTCTGCTGCCTTTTCCTCTTCCCGCTGAAGATTTAGGCCCAACTCCTGCTGGTCCGGGACCTGTTGTTTTCTGTACCTTCAAGGCTGGCCTGGAGCTATCAGCTGAGAGCAGAGAAACCGGCGTGGTCGTGACCGGAGGCCACCCCCGCAGGGAGCCCGCCCCCCACAGCACGGCGGCCCGGGGAGAAAGGGGTGGGCCAGGCGGCACCGGCCTCCGCGCCCGGGGAGGAGCCTCAGGCCCGTCCCTCCGGGTCTCGCCCTCCAGCCCGCTCCTGCCCTGCCCCCAGGGCTGCCGTGGAACCTTCCGGAACCCCACGGCAGGGCCTTTACTCGTGTCCCTCGTTTGGAAGGTTCTTCCCCCCAAGTCCTTGTAAAACGGCTTCTTGTCATCCTTCGAGTCTCGGCTAAGCGGTCGCCCTCGGAGGAGTCTCCTCCGGCGGCCGGGCTCCTGACGGCGTCCGCGGCCTCCCCGCCCTTCCCCTCGGCGGTGTCCGCGAGGCCGGGGCCCGGGGGCCAGGGCGGCCCGGCTCCTGCAGGCCTGACTTCTCAACGTGCAGCAAGGCCCGGGGCCTTTCATCTCGCATTTGGAAAATACGAGCGCAGCGAGGCCCCTTCACGCCCCCGGGCCCCGCCGGCAGCCACGAGCGTCCGTGCACACGCGCCGGAAGTGGCCCAGGCCGCCCGCGTCGTCCTTCCGTGCCTCTCTAGGACGACGGGAGGCTTGGCATCTCGATGACAGGCCCAGCGCCGACGCTGGACGATTCGGCCTCCAATGGGAAAGCGAGTTTCAAAGCCCAGAGCGTCGGGAAATTACTCGGGCAACCGCGCGGCTTGGGGGCGTGGAGGGGAAAAACAGGGGCGACACCAAAACATACGCCAGTCACGATTGGTCCGTTTTGCTGGAGCCCGCCCCCTCGCTGCGCCACAACAACTGATTGGCTAAGAGCAGGGCTAGGGCGGGGCCTCCGCAAACCCAGCCCCTGGCCTCTGCGCCTGCGTAAAGGTGGCGGCCAGGTGGGCCGTGCCGCCCCGCAGGGGGCGCTGCGCAGGCCGGTGCTGCGCGGAGGCCGACGCTCCCGGTCCCCCCCAAGGAGGGCCATGAGCGCCTTCTGCAGGGGCCTGGGCCGACCCAGCGGCCGCACAGGGGAGGAGTGGGAAGCGCGGCCCGGAACATTCCGTCCCGTCCATCACCCACTCCCGACGGTGGAGGTCCGCGGACGGCCTCCGGGCCCGCCTCTCCGGTGCCAAGAACCTGGGCCGTCAAGGGTGACCAGAAGCCAGGAGAAGTGTTAGGGGGAAAGGATGTGGGCTGCCCTATAACAAAAGCAGGCCACAGCTCTGAGCTTCCTCACTTGCTACCCAGAGCACCCCCCAGCCCAGCCTCCGACCTCCCCGCGAAGCCCCACCACCTACCCATCGGAACCCCTTTCAGCCCGACACGCCAGCCCCTGCACCACGCCCCAGCTGTCTCCTCAGTCTTAATGGCTCGTGTCAAATATTTTCCAAACTGCCAAGTTCCACTCTTAACATGCTCTGGCTAGGTCTGTCCCAGAAATGTGGCTTCTGGATGGATCTCTAGCAAGGAGTGGACAAAGACCCAGGGAACCATGCCGCACTGCACTCTGCCAAGTCTCTGAGCTCCTCAGAGGCCAGAGTGAAGTCTTCAAGTGATTCCCGGGCTCACTCGTTCCCTGGCTCCTGGTGGTTCAAGTCCTGACACGCTGACCACAGGGGCCGGGAACTGAAATCATGGCAAGCAAACGCCCACTGTGCAAAGGGGTAGTCCCTGCTAAGCTCCGGCCAAGTGATGGCCACTGGCGGTGGCCTCTTCCCAGGTCTCCTTCCCACCTCTCACTTGTCATTAGAAAACAAGGCTGCTGGCATTCAAAAAAGATAAACACATGCAGTTTGCAGCAACATGGATGGCGCTGGAAGGGATCATGCTCAACAAAATAAGCCAGAAAGAAAAAGAAAAATACCGGATGGTCTCACTCATAGCAGGAATCTAGAAAACTTAAGGGACCAGGAAAAAGAATATAAGAAAGGAAAAATCAAAATCAACAAACTATGAACCAGAGACACTCTATGGGGTATGGGGGGCGGGGAGGGGAGGGTTTGGGGTCAAAATAAGGGGGTTGCAATTGTATGGGGAATATAAAAATAAAATTTATTAAAAAAAAAAAAAGGCTGCTGTAGCTGAGTCCCCCCACCCCTCACGCTGAAGCCAGCATAAGACTGGCGCCATGAAGACAAGAGGAAGCGTCTGTCTTTCTGCCTCCCCTGCAAGGAGACAGCTGCTTCGACCAGTCCTGCCAGCAGCCCAACCCCAGGTCCCTCACCGGGACCTCCCACAGCCCTGGGCTCGGCAGTCAGCAGCTCCCTCCTAGCGGCTGATAAGATTTACCCCCAGCCCTGCATGTAAGCCCAGCACCTCTGAAGGTCAAGTCTACTGTCGTTCTCTTCAGACAGCCCTGTCTCATAATACCACACACTGATTAAGACAGCCGGTAGCTCTTGGGGTACCTGAAATATGGGTGTTCTTTACAATAGGAAAGCCCTGAACTTAAACCCGAGCTTTTAGCTGTTCATATGACTTTGGGCAGGATAGACTTCCCTCTCTGAGCCTGTTTGCTTGTGTACGACACCCATGCTCAGAGCTGAGGCAGGTCACCTATGTGTGTGTCACTTGGCCCCATGCCTCACACAGCTTATACGTGACAGCTATTATTGCTATGCTCAGTCTGCCCTCCTGTCCCAGCCACTGTGTCCCTTGGGAGCTGGCAGGTGCCCTGCTGGCCCCATGATCCACACAGACAGGTGGGGCGTCAACAGCCCCCAATGCAGACATCCTCAGGGGCAGGTCAGTGTTATATCGGGAGCTCAGCTGCAGATCTAGATAACCAACAGGCTGAGGCCACCCCACCCCCGTCCCAGGGCAGAAAGTCAAGACTGGGAGACATCAAAAAACAAAAGGCAGGGGCAGGTAGGGCAAAGTGGAGATGTGTGAAGAGGCCAAGGAGGTGAGAACCAGCGGAGGGGGCAGGCAGCAGCCCACAAAGGGACCTGTGGTGGAGAGCCGTCCCTTTACGTGAGGGGTCCTCACCGGCCTGCAGCTAGGCCCAGTGAAGAGGGGGGCATGGCCTGAGACAGGAGGGTGAGGCCCTGAGCTGACTCTGCCTGACTCCTGGCTCGGGAAGACACGAGCGTGGGTTGGGTACAGGGCTCCGAGGGTGGTGTCCTGGGGCGGGAATGAAGGCGGCGGCAGACCACCCTGCCAGCCCTGGCTCAGCTTCAGAAGTGGCTTCTGGGCTTCCGGTTTGGAAGGTAACCTCTGTGCTCTCTGCCTGTCCGAGCATCTGCGAGGCTCTGGAAAGGTCAGCAGCCAGGTCAAAGCTGGCAAGGAGGGTGCCCAGGCGCAGGAAGGGCTGACTCAGGGATGCCTGGGACACATGGTTCGCCCAGCCAGGGCCCAGGAGACAGAGCTCTAGGCGGTGGCTTGAATTCCAAGGCCTTTAATTTGCAGCTAGAGTGGGGGCCCCGCCTCGCCCTAGCTCCTCCCGATGGCCCTGCCCCACCCCAAGCCACAACTCCCCCACTCCCTTCCCAGCCTCCCACCAGCTCCCGCAGCCCCCACGCTGCTCCCCCTGCCCGGGCCAGGCCGCCTCCTAGGTGGGGGCCGGTGGGGGTGCGGCCAGAGCCCCCGCCGCCCCCAGCATCAGCATGGCCAGGGCCTTAGGCCCCGAGGTGTGGATCTTCTCGTGCCGGTGCAAGTTGGAGCGGCGGCTGAAGCTCTTGCCGCAGAGCGGGCAGGAGTAGGGCCGCACGCCGCGGTGGGTGCGCTGGTGCGCGGTGAGGTGTGAGCTGTGGCTGAAGCTCTTGCCGCAGTCGAGGCAGTGGTAGGGCTTCTCGCCCGTGTGCGTGCGGTTGTGCGCGATGAGGTTGGAGCGCTGGCTGAAGCACTTGCCGCACTCGGGGCACGGGTAGGGCTTGACGCCGGTGTGCGTGCGCTGGTGGGTGACCAGGGCGGAGCTCTGCGTGAAGCACTTGCTGCAGATGGGGCACTTGTGGGGCTTGGCGCCCGTGTGGGTGCCCTGGTGGGTGACCAGGTCCGAGCGGCGGGTGAAGCGCTTGGCGCAGCGGTCGCACACGTAGGGCTTCTCGCCCGTGTGGATGCGCTGGTGCTGGATCAGCGTCGAGTGGTGGCTGAAGCTCTTCCAGCAGGAGGGGCAGGTGTAGGGCTTCTCGCCTGTGTGGATGATCTGGTGCTGGATGAGGTGCGAGCTGCGGCCGAAGCGCTTGCCGCAGTCCGTGCAGGCGTAGGGCTTCTCGCCCGTGTGCGTGCGCCGGTGCGTCACCAGGTGCGAGTGCCAGCTGAAGCCCTTGCCACACTGCTCGCACCGGTAGGTCTTCTTGCTGGCATCGCCGTCCGGGGCCAGGCCCTCCTCGCCGCTCTCCGGGGTGCCTGTCTCCCCGGGGCTGGGTCTCTCTGGGGGCGCAGCGTCCGGCGGAGTGGGCCTGGGTGGTCTCTCCTCCGCGGGCGCCAGCTGCCCAGTGTCCTGGGCTGGCCCCGAGCTCTGGCCACTGGCTGCCTGGCGACCACAGGGCGCGACATCGCCTGGGGCTCTCCCCACCCCACTTCTGAAGGGCTCCACATCCCCTAGGGCAGCCGGAGTGTGGGGGTCCTCCTCCTTCCCCACCTCGGCGTCTCCTGGAGAAAGAGGGTTCCAGACAGAGACAAGCTTTCATCAAGGGCCCCGCGGCATTCTGGAAACGCAGACGAGGATGAGGACCGAGGGCAACCCTGGAAGCCGGAGCCCAGTGCAGAGGCGGGGCAGCCAGGCCGCCCCAGCGTCTGCAGAGCTGGGTCAGCTGCGGGGCGTGCACGGGGATGGCCAGCGAGGACCCTTGCCCGGGCCCCCGCCCCCACCCACCCGCGCCCTCTCCACGTACCTCTCTCCCCGGCTGCTGGCCGGCCCGAGCTCGAGGCCTCACCCTTGCCCTGCACTTGGGAAGCCCAGAAAGGTCTGCTGAAGGGAAACCCTGCCCCAGAGAGACGCGCTCAGACTGGCACCCCGAGGGGAAACCCTTGCTGCCGGGAGCAACAGGGGCGGGCGCAGCTCAGGAAATGGCACATGGAGTCCAGCATCACTGGGGGTCGGGCAGCCCCCCTAGTTAGGAAGAACTCACAGGGGCTAGGAGGAAGCTTGGTCCTGCTTCCCTGAACCAGCACCAGGCACGGAGGGAGGCCTGGGCCAGTCAGCTGCCAGCACCCCCTTGCAGGGCGAGTTCTGGAACAGGGGCCCAGCCACGCCTGGTACTGGACAGCCTCCCACTCCCAACCTGCACCATCCGCGTGGGGTGCCTGGGGGGTAGTGGGCAGAGAGGCCAAGTGGGAGGCCTTGGGCTAAGAGGGAGGGACACTCACCCCCAAGAAGTCAGGGTCAAAGGCCCGAATCCAAGCCCCCCAGGGCAAGGCCCCAGGAACTCGGGTCACCACGAGCACAGAGGGGCCCTGGCCTCCAGGCCCGATCCGGCCACGTGGGTGGGAAGGGACGTACCGGGCCAAGCAGGTAGGGGCAGGCGTGAGGCGCACCAAGGGCTGCAAACGGTGGTAAATCCCGTCTGAAACCCCCACCGGCCGCGCCCTGGGCAGCGGGAGGGACGGAGGAGCACGCCTGAGACAGCAGGGGGTGAGCCGGTGGCTGCTGTGAGGTGGGCGCTGCCAGGCCAGTGGGATCTTGGCCGGCTACCTGAGGGTGGGACTCCCCAGCCCCCACTCCGTCTGACGTGCAATAGATGGGGCCGGCGGACAGGCAAATAGATGACCGAGCGGACACAGAAAACCCGGCCAACAAACAAGAGCTGGAAACTGAGGACTCGGTAGTGAGGACACCAAGGAAGCGGCGCCCCCGAGGAGGGATCACACCCAGTTTCCCACCAATAGGCCACCCCAGAGCCAAGCTCTCTGCTCAGGTGCCTCTGACACTGCTGGGGGGATGCGCATGAGGCGGGTCCCCAGCCTCTCTCGGGGCACCGCCAGCTCGGCGGCCACACGAGGCTACTTCAGTAAGGAAATAAAAGGAGCAGCTCAGCAGCTCTGACCGCAGTGCTCGGACACAAAGCCAGAGGCGGCGGTGGCGGTGCGGCGGAGCGACACGGAGGGCCTCCACCTCGGGGGCTCTGGGCCGCCCGGACGGACGAGGGGTGGGGTTCAGCCCCGGGAGGTGGGATGGTCTGGCTTACCCCAGGCCAGCCCGCTCCGCTTCTGCAGGACGTCCCTGTAGACGCTGTGCTGCGCGCGGTCCAGCCGCCCCCACTCCTCCCGGGACAGGTACAGGGCCACGTCCTCAAAGGTCACCGGCATCTGAAACAGGAGGCCACTCGGAGTCGGCGCGGACAGGGCGGGGCACAGCGGCACCGTGCCAGAGTGAGCCCCCCACTTCCCGAGCCTCTGCCCCTGGTTCTGAGCGGGGGCAGGACAGCGCCCGGGGCGGCTTTTCAGGGCAAGAAAAAGCATGTGGGGTTGAAGCAAGCGTCCCTTTCTCGGGGGTCAAGGCCAAGCACAGCCTCCCAGCGAGCCCCTCTGCAGCCCGCTCAGCCCCAGGTGCGGCCGGCTGCTCCTCCCGGGGGCGCTCACCTGGGACCAGGCGGTGAGGAGCGCCGCAGCCATGTGCCGGTCTCTGGTCCTGCCCTCGCGGGCGGAGACCTGGGGGGACGGGAGGGCTGAGAGAGGAGAGAGGTCCTCAGGGCGGACACAAGCAGTGGGCAGGCGTCAGGGTGTCGCCACAGCCTTTGCCCCCCACCAGGGATTGTGAGCCCCAAAAAGCTCACGCGCGCCCCCTCCCCTCACCTGCACCAGGCGGGAGGAGTGCCTTCTCCTTGGGAACCTGGTCGGGGGCCTGGCCCCGTGCTACCTGAGCCCCATCCTCCGGAAACGCCCCCTCAGGAAGCGGCTCCTCGGGTTCCGTCTTGATGTGGGGTGACTCCCGAGCGACTCCCAAGGGCACCGCGTCCTCTGACTCGGAAAGCACTTCCGCATGCCCAGGACCCAGAGCCTGGGGGGGGAGCCGGGGCACGGGGTGGGCCAGGGTGCACAGTAGCTCCAGGCGCAGCTCCAGGGGGGCACCGGCGGGTCAGTGGCTCTCCTCAGCCAGGCCCAGCTGCCCCAGCAGGGGGACGGCACATTTCAGTATATGAAGAAACCAAGGTAGTGGTTGAATGGGCCCCCAGTAGAGCCTCAAAATGTGACCTTGGTAGGAAAAAAGTCTTTGCAGATGGAATTAGTTAAAAACCTTGAGATCAAACCATCTAGGATCGAGGTTGGGCCCTAATTCCCATGATGCCACGCCAGTGTCCTCTGGAGACTCAGAGGGGGCGCCCGAAGACAGGCGGAGAGCAGGTGACGCATCCACCAGCCCCTGCATCCACCCGCCCAGGGGCGCTGGGGCCTCTGGAGGCCAGGAGGGCGGGAGGGCGCCTCAGCTCCACGTCCCGCACTCCCGGAAAGCGAGCGCTCATTTCTGTCTCTCCCCTCCTTCGCTCGCCTACTCTGTTCTGGCCCCAGAAGAGCCTCAGCCTCAGGGACAAGTCCTTGAAGGGCGTGCAATCCTGCCACCCCTGGATTTGGGGTTTCTGGAGGTAGTGACCTCTGGCTGTTGCGGCCCAGCAGACACAGGACACCAACCCCAGCCTCAGAGACGCGGCAGAGGCCCCATCATGGAGCTCTGTGGGATGTGGCCAGGATTTGAACTCACTGGACCAAGTTCTGTTGGGAACTCACTGCTGTCCCCCCAGCCCCCTGCCCCCCATGAGGGCCTCAAGGGAAAGGTCCTCGGGCCAGAGTCGGAGCGCCTGAGAGCCAGACAGGCCAGGCGGCCTCCGAGACGGCCATTCTGCCTCCCGCACGGGGCGCTCAGGCAGCTCTGGAGAAAGCTGCCTGCAGCAGGGAGCTCTGGGGACGTCCAGAGCAGCACCGACACGTCGGAGCACCAGGAGGCCCGTCAGCCTTGGGAAGGTGCTGTGCACGGAGCCCGAGCAGCGGCGACCGTTCTGTGTGCGCAGAATTGGACGAACCGAGACCTCACTTGTATCTGCACTTACGGCCCTGGAAAGTCGGTGGCGGGAGGACGGCCTCTCCCGCTGAGCTGACAGAGCTCACAGCCGCCCGCCCAGAGGGCAGGACAGGTGGGAACACGATCCGCATTTTACAACCAGGCATCTGGTTTCCAGAGGCCAGGGACTTGCCCCGGGTCACACACCTGGCTGCCACGGCCTCAGACTCCCGACCCCAAGACTGGGGCGATCCCCACACCCCAAGACTAATGACACAGACACACACCCTCCGGCAACAGCACAGGAAGGTCCCGGGACTCAAACCCGGACACCCGACAGGGCCCCAGGCGGAGGGGGGTGGAGTGGAGGGAGAAGAGCCTCCTCCCGCTCTGGCTACTGCCTGGTGAGAACACCTCCCTGTTCGCCCCCTACCCAGGCCGCCCCCCTGCCCCCCGCCTTCGCCCTCCAGCCTCCGAGGACCAGGCAACGGAAGCCGTGTGCAGAAATCCCTTCCCAGGTGAAAGGCACGTCCCACCATCACACCACAAACCCCTTCACCCCGTCTGCCAGACCTGCCCCCAAGGGTCTGGACACCCTGTCCTGAAAACTCCCTCCCCGGCACCCCCGTCCTACCTCCTGGGCTCGCCCCTCGTCCCGGGCCGCGCGGCCGCCTCTGCCCTCTGCAGACATTGTCCACAGGGCGCTCGCAGGCGCAGCGGAGTGTGTCCCTCATCCAAGCCTCGCCGCCTTCGACCAGCGCCTGGAGAAGCAGAAAATCCGCCGGCGTTGCCCAGGCGCCGCCCAAGCGCCCCGAAGCCCCGACGCGGGGTCAGCCGCCGCCGGTCGCGGGGAGCAGCGGAGCGCGGCGGGGGCTCTGGCCCGGCTTGGGCAGAAGCTCCTGGGAGCCTCCCCGCCGCGGCCGGAGCAGAAGCCCGCGGACTGGAGCCCGCGCGTCCCGTCGCCGCGGCCGCAAGTTCCCCGGGGAGCGACAGAACAGGTGCTGGAGGGGCCCCCCCGCCTCACCCCCGGGGGCGCCCGATCCGGCCCCTCCCGGGGTCCGGCCTCGCGGGCCCCGCCCCCCGCCCCCGCCCGCGCGGCCAGGCCCCTCTGCCCACCCGGCCGTCCGCCTCCCCGCGCCCCGCCGCCGGCCCCGCAGGCGCCCGCCCGCGCCCCCCAGCGCCCCCTCACCTGGGGGCCCTCGGCGGCGGCCCGCCGGGAAGGGGCCTCGGCGGCCGGCGCGGCGGGCCCGCGGGAGAGGCGGCGGGACCACAGGAAGTCCCTCCCGATCCCGTTCCCCACGCAGCGGCCGCCCGCCAGGGTTCCCGGCTCCGAGGGTTCCGGGGTGGGGGCCGGGCCGCGCCGCACCTGCCCCCGCCCGGGCATCGCCCAGCCCGGCACTGCCGCCGCCGCCGTGCCCGCCCGTGCCAGGCAGGGCCCCGGGGAGGAGAAGGCATTTTGTGGAAAGATTCTGGCGTCTGAGTTTCATTTTTTAATTAAAAAAAAAGATGTATTTATTCATGCATACAAGAAAGAGCTGGGGTACGGGCCAGAGGTGTGGGAGGTGAGAGGCTCACCAGAGACAGAGTGGGGGAGCAGAACAGACAGATCTACTGGTCTGCTGCACCACGTGGCCTGCTCCCTGGCCGGGGCTCGAACTCGTGCTGCAGAGGCTGGAAATAGCTTCAGTCCTAAGCCCTTGCACTGCCAGGGGAGCCAGGCTGCACCTGCAGGTCTAATGGGCCTGTCTCCTGGACTTGCACCTGACACCAGAAAGACAGGTGGGAGGCTCTCTCCCTAAGCACGCACTCAGGAAGCGGTGAGGCCTGGGGACTCTCCCACCTCCCATGCCCCCCTCCTGGGAAAGGTGTGTGATGACCAGGATTTGTGTAGACCATCCCCAGCTCCCTCCAGGTTAGGGCAGCTGCTACCCCTGGGTCCAGGCCCTCCGGCATCCCTGCTGGCTTCACATTCCTCCTCTCAGTCTCCTGCTCCCTGTGGGCCCAGAGAACTAAGGTTCCCCAAGTGGGAGCACAAAGGCTGCATTTAGACTCGCTCAGACAAGGAGGCCACTTCACTGGAGCCGGCCATGGGTGGGTGTCCGGGAAGGGCTGGGGGCCCGGCCCTGCAGGAAGATTCCCGGACGGTTTCCCCAGAAAATGTTCCCCTGCCTGCAGCCTCCCCTTCGCTCTCAAAGTCCTGGAAGGCTGGCCCTGCACCTGCCCGCAGGTATGCTGCGGGGTTGTCTTTTTAAAATGCAGTCCCCGGGCCTCCCCGGTGGCGCAGCGGTTGAGCGCTGGGTTGCGAAGCTGCCTCAGCCTCTGCAGCGCCAGTTCGATCCCCGGCTGCTCCCCGGCCACCGGAGGAGGGTCCCACATGGCGCGCAGACCTCTCCTGTCGCCCGCTGCTCCCCTCAGCAGTGTACTTCGGTCCTTCTGCCTGCTCTGCTCCCCGCTCTGGCTCTGGTGAATTCTCTCACCCTCCCGCGCTTCTGACTGTACCCAGTGCATGTATAAACAAAACAAATAAATAAATAAATAAATAAAACATGCCTCTATTAAAATAAAATAAAATGCAGTCCCCAACATTAAAAAATTAAGAGAATTCTCTTAATAGATTTTCTTGAAAATCAGAATAATTGTCAACACCGGATCTGTTCTCCCCACATATGGGGCCTGCTCTGGGATTGCCACGTTTGGTCCCCTGTGGCATTTTGAGTCTGCAACTCTTTTGGAGTGAAACATGTTTTGGGACACCTACGATTCTGCTGTCACTTGGAAGAAAAAAAAAAAATCCTGGGTTTTACCCCTGGGTTTGTCTCCAGTCAGTATTTTGGTGTTTTATTCTCAAGGTAAAGAGGGGGGTAGAAAGTTGTAGTAAGAGTCAACACTGTCTTCAAGGCAGAGAGGTACAAGCTGAAAAAGCCACAAGAGCCTTGAAAACCATCAGCTGCTCCTGAGTGTTCCCTCCAGACGGAGCAGAGCCGCCCAGCCCCAGGCCCGCACACTGCACCGGTGGGTGCACTCTGATTCCTGGGCAACCCTTCCCACATGAGCGGTGCACCCCACCATGGGCTCACCCGAAGTAGAGCAAAGACAGCTTCAACATTTACATGTGCAGAAAATAACATTGCATTTGGGGGTGTTGGGGGGGTGGGGCCCGCCAGCTCTGCAACTGCGCAGGCCCAGAGGAAGGGCTGTGGCATTTGCTGCCTGGGAGCTGCGTCCCCGAAAGAGCCCAGAAACGCAACAGGACAAAGTGAGCGTGACATGGAAACCAGAACTGCCTCCAGGGGCCAGGCAGCACCGTCTGTGACCAGTGCCCTGGGTGGTAGGTGGGACAGGGGAGCAACGTCTGGGCCTCAGGAAACCCTGGCTTGTCTAAACAGGGAAAAGCTGGAAGAACTTTCAGGAGAGGTCAAGAAAGGACTGGATTTCTGTGTGAAATAGCCGAGTTTTACATGTTGATGGCTGACATTGAGCATTTAAGAACTCCACGCGACCTGGGCAGGAAACGCCTGCTGCCCAGCTGGCAGCACAGCTTTGGCGATGTGCTTACCTGCGGGGCCTGCCGCAGGACCCTCGTCACGGGCGGGGGCCAGCGGGCATCCGCACATGCCAGCTCGGCCGCAGGGAGGAGAGGATGCCACCTCAGAGATAATCACGACCCGCCCTCGAGCCCGCCCGCCCCGCGCCCCCGGGGGATGCGAGACTGGGGCGCTGCACTGAGGAAAGAGCTGGAGCGGGCCGGCCGGGCGGCGACGAGCGCTGCTCCTGGGTCTCCCGGGAGGGAGTGGACGGGGAAACGCAGGAGCGCGAGCGAAGTCAAGGAACGCGGGAGTGGAGCGAAGGGCCGGGGCTGGGGGCGTCTGGCGGAGGGAGCGCGGCGCGCGCGGGGGCCGCTGCGGACAGCCCTGCGGTGAGGAGGCAGCTGCGGACGCCGGGGCCGCCGGGGCTCGCGCGGCGCGGAGGCGACCCCGGCCCGGCCCGGCGCGCGGCGGAGAGTCAGGGCCCGGCGCGCAGGGGTCACGCCGCCACGGGCGCCGCCCACGGGCCCGCCACGCGGGGACGCGTCTCCCGGGTAACGGCGCGCGCCGCCCCGCCCCCGAGGGACGCCCCGGCGATTGGCTGGCCTGTCCGAGGCCCCGCCCCTTCCCGGCCCCCGCCGTGGCCGCGCGCCCCCACTCGCGCCCGGGCTGGGGGCGAGGCCGGCGCCGGGGGCGCCCGGTGTCCCCGCGTTTCCCGTCCGGCTGCCCCGCGCGGCTTCCGGTCTCCCAGGCTGCCCTTCCCCCTTCCCCCCACCCCCCCTTCCCCCCGCTCCCCACCTGCGCCCGCCCGCCGGCGGCCAGGAGCGCGGGGAGACCCAGGCAGCCACCGCCCGCCCCGCCGCGCCCGCGGCTCCTGCTCTGACCCGGCGCGGCCGCGGCCGTGGGTCGCCCCGAGGCCCGCGCAGACGGCGGGGCGTGCGGGGGGGCGGGCCGGGGCTCCGCGGGAGGACCCGCCGGGGCCCGGGCGCCCTTGCCGGCCGCTGTTGCTGCCCCGCCGCCCCCGCCGCCGCCCGCCCCCCGCCCCCCGCCTGCCGCCGCCCCGCGCCCCGCCACCCCGCCCTCCTCCGCGGCTGGGGTCCCGCACAGAATCGTCTCCGTATTCTTTTTTTATTCCATTGAGTGTGGAAAAACGTGGAACTTCCATTTGTTTTCCCTTTATCTCATCCTCTTAACAATTCTAATTTTTTTAAAAAGATTTATTTTATTTATACTAGAGCTGGGGTTCAGGCCAGAGGTGTGGGGGGTGAGAGGATTCACCAGAGCCAGAGCGGGGAGCAGAGCAGGCAGAAAGACCGAAGGACACTGCTGAGGGGAGCGGCGGGCGGCAGGAGAGGTCTGCGCGCCATGCGGGACCCTCCCCCGGAGGCCGGGGAGCAGCCGGGTATCGAACCGGCGCTGCACAGGCTGCCGGCAGCTCCACAGCGCGGCGCTCAACCTGCTGCGCCCCCGGGAGGCCCCTAACAATTCTAGTTTTGAGAATGCTTTGTCCGGCTCCTCAGAGGGGCGGCCCTCCCAGCCTGGGGCACAAGTGCCCACCAGGCCCCAGTGAGCCGTGGGAGGGGAGGGCACTAGGTCCCTAGAGACGAGTGTGGAATCTTCCAGAGAGGGGCAGGATTCTTTCCTGGGCACAAACCCAGCAGTAACTCCCATAGTACGTCCCACACATACAAGAAGTACTGGCTACCGTGGCCCACGCGGAAGCCATCACTGTCAGCGTGAACAGCAAATAAAGCAAAGGCGAAAGCAGTCAAGGGACAGGCAGCTTGTGGCTCAGCAAGGCCAGATGAAGAGCCCCATCTTTGTGGCTTTGTTACAGGTCAAGGAGAGGAGCACCCCAGAACCCACAAATCTCCCTGCTCTACATACGGTTCTGCCACCCACCATCAAGACAAAACATGTAAGACCTTTAATGGAAAGGAACTTTAACACAATTAGTGGACAATCAGAAAAGTCAACACAGTTTCTAAACCAGGCACACAAGGTTACCCCCACCCAACCCTGCGGGTAAAAGTCCATCCAAACAGGATTGTCCCAGAGCAAGGCCCAAAGGCTGCACAGTCTAAGGCACCTTCCAGCAGCGGGGACCCATAGAAAAGGGTCAGAAATAGCCAAAGTCTGGGAGAAAAAGAACAATATCAAATTAAGATAAAACCTGCCATTGTTGGGCCTCCTTGGTGGCGCTGGGGGTTAACCTATGAAGCTATAGCCACTGCAGCAAGAGTTCGATCCCCGGCCAGGGAGCTACCCACGTTGCGCGGCAGACCTCTCCTGTCTCCCTGCTGCTCCCCTCAGCAGTGCATTTCAGTCGATCTGCCTGTTCTGTTCCCCACTCTGTCTCTGGTGAATCCTCTCACCTCCCACACCTCTGGCCTGTACCCCAGTTCTTGTACGCATAAATAAATAAATCTTTAAAAACAAAACAAAAACCTGCCGTTGTTAACCTCTCCACGAGTCTTTCACCCACATCTGTTCAGCTGAGAAGCCAACGCAGCTTCTTCACATGTCTCTGCTCCATGTGCCTCCTCCAGGTCTCCTGGCTCCATCCTGCTTCCTTCCGTCTCCAGTCTCCTCTCCAGCATCTTCCAGCTCAGCTCCACCCATCTTTGGGCACCACCCTGTCACAGCTTCGCTTGCAAGTTCAGAACCAGGCCCGACAAATCCGGGCTGGAAGTCCAGACCGTG